ACCCAGTAATAATTCAGTCATTCCAATGCTAGGTAACCCGCCCTGTCCCTGTACTTTGCTCTTGATCCTGGAATGAGGCTAGGGGTCTGTTACTGGAACAGTCCTACACAGGTGCCCTGGGACAGGTGAAGAGCTGCCTCAGGGAGTCATAGAAAGAGCATGTTTGCTTCTAAAATCCTTACAAATAAACAGGGAGTTTCATTTACTCAACGACTATTAATCGAGCACTTATCAAACAGTGAAGTTTGTATTAAGACAGACCTGGGCTTGGATTCTAGATATGTCATGCATTAGCTTCAGAAAGGCTATTAGCTTCAGAAACAATGATTAAGGAATCATTCTTTTTTGTTTTTGTTTGTTTGTTTTTTCTCTCTTGTTTTTGTTTGCTCTCCCTTGTTCAAGTTTCCTGGGAGAATCTTTACATTCTTTATACTTCATTAGTGCCACCTCTATAACCTACCAATTCACACAGATTTCTACTATCTGAATGATGGGAGGCATATGATATGGACTCCTCTAATTGGTGTCTTTGCTGCCCCGGTGATTCTCCAAATCTTTACCTTCTGTTTTTTTGCCATGTGTCCTCTCTCCACATCTCCTTTCTAGCCCTTGGGAGTGGCCCCTATTCCTTGCTTATCTCCATTTCCTCCAGGGCTTCTTACTTCCCCACTCCCAGCCTGTACCCCACAGTCAGTTTTTCTCTACTTAACCAGCTCCTTCCCTTGGGGGCTGGAAGCAGGAAGCAGTCACCTCTAGACCAAGAGCCAACCAACCATCGACCATTAGCCTTCTAGCCTGCTTTTCCTTGGAGCTAACAGTGTTGCTCTCTCTTCTCACAGCCTCTTCTTCCTCATGCCCCATTCACTGGGCGACTTGAACTTACTGTTCTATTAAAAGTTCTCTTGAACCTCCCCAAATCAGCATACACGGTCCAATCTTACTTCTGATCCTAAGGGACACCATTGCAGTTGTGGGTGCCCCACATTTGTTGAGGTTCTCTCCTCCCTAGGATGCCAAAGCCCACAGCAGCCCATCTCTGACCACTTCTTCCTTGACCCATCTGTCTGAACTGGCCTCCCAAATGTAGGTCTTGTTCCATTTCCTTTTGATCTGTCTCTACCTTCAAGACTATCAGTTTTTATGTCTAGAATAGTGGTTGTCAGCTTGGGTGTCTCAACCTTTAAGCCTTCTAGAAGGGCTTTAAAAAAATCATGATGCCCAGGTCTTACCCCAGTTGATGTCCTTAGATTCTCTGGGAGTGGGCCTTGGGAGGGCTCTGGGGAGTTGATTACTAAATCTTTAGCCTTAGCATAGCATCCAAACTTCATTGCCTGAAACACATGCTAGGGTGTGATTATTGGCCTAATGAATATTTCCATCTCATACTTTGGATGTTACAAAATTTAGTGATGTCCCTTATAGGTCTGGCTCTCTTTCCATTTTTCTCTTTGTTTCTCAAGTTTGAAGTCTGTGGATGTTTCCGATTCTTGGCATCCAACTTCCAAAGCCAAGCGCTGATTTTGTTGTTTCTTCACTGTTCACGAATATCATTTGTGATCTGCTTTTTTCTCCCTCTCTGTTCATTACTTTTATGTACTCTCAGTCAAAATGAGCTACTTTCCATTCCCCTAAGATTTCTCCAAATTTCCTAAACTGGCTTTGCTCAAACTGTTCCCTCCCTTACATCTCCTCTGCCTCTTAAAAATCCTAGTTCCTAAAACTCAACTAAAATGCCACTTATTCAGGACCACTTCTAGTTATGTCTGCATTCTACATAATTTTGCTCTCCTACTATTATTGGACCACATTCTGCCATGTATTCAGTCTTGGTCTCCTAACTGGATTGTAGGCAACTTGAAAATTGGGTGGGGCTCTTTGAAAGAATGATTTAAAAAATTTTATCATACTAAATTAAGACAGTTGACCTATTTGAGTACCCTTATTTAGCTCATATAGCCCCTAACACTAGATCCAATTTTTTTAAATGATTTTTTTGTTTGTGGTACTGGGGATGGACCCCAGGACTTTGTGCCTGCTAACACCCTACAACTGCCAGCCCCTCCCTGCTTTTAAATTTTCATCTCGAAATAGAGTTTGCTAAGTTACCCAAGCTGGCCTTGAATTTGTGATCTTTCTGACTCTGTCTCCTGAGTAGCCACTGTACTGGCTGACATCTGCGTTTTGAAATCATAAACTTAAATATTGCAAAGGAAGTATTCCTTCTTGCGTGCAGGCTTTAAATATGTTTTTCCTTAAACCTTGTAATTGCAGAGTTGATGCCTATATGGGAAATTTCTTCCATAGAGTGTAATTGGCAACACCAGTCCTTGTTGACCAGAGAACAAATAGCCAGATCACATGTTCAGTTAGGAAAAGTCTGAGATTTAAGTAAGTGTGGGTACTTATTCTTAGATAGAAACCCTACAGGGCTCAAGAACAAAGTCAGGCATTGCCCACCTAAGGATTTCTTATTGATGCTCTCTGCTCTGCTCCCTTGATTCTCCCTCATGAGGGCCATTTTCTCCAGTTGTCCCTTTGCTTAACTCCCCAGAAGTTCCTCCACCTTGAGGTAATGAATGCAGGACAGGTGGAGATCTAGGCTTAATGCATGACAGGTGGAGATCTAGGCTTTCTCTGTAATGTAAAGGGCCCTTGTATAGGTAAGAGTGGAGAATTGGCAGATCACGAGTTTAAAATAATAAAAATGAAAACTGAAGTTCTAGAAATGGACTCTATAAATCTCTCCGTGCTTGTGTACCCTCTAGAAATTCTGTGTACTCCCAAGGATGCTGTTCCTCAGTGTGAAGGCAGCTTAGCTAGGACAGAATCACACACAAAAAATTTTAGATCCTTTCACATGGATGGACACATCTCTATAAGGTTTTAAGAAATTTACTTCCCACTTATGATCCAAGGTTAAAGGTCATTTTGTTGCTTCACAGAGTCCCAGGTTCTTCCACATGAAGTCACTGTAGTTCCCCAGGAGAAAGAGCCCATCAAATTCCCAGAGCCCTTCAAAAGAGATACTGGCTTCCATCTGCGCTTGCCAGTTGCCCTCCTCAAGGTTGGTGGGACAGATTTAAGCTTCTGTAAATCCCTGATCACTGAGTTGCCTGGGTGATGTACTCCTAAATGCCCAGCAAGTGTTCTATTTAATTCTAGGGTGTTATTCTGTTGTTTATACCCAAATGTTTACAACCACAACTATTATTATCACTGATTATCATAACCATAACGTCTACACATTTAATTGGGGCTCTGCATGATCTAGACAAGATGCAGAACTTATCATTAGACATAGTACCCTTACTATTTTAAGACTGGGAGAGTACTCTTTTGATTTTTACTCTTGTGATTTCTGTCTGGTGCTATGAAAAAGAAATCTCTGTTAAATCCTTATTTTTTTGCAGCAGTAAGGTCATTTGATTGTTTTTCTGTGAGTTTAGCTTGAAAAAGATCAATATCAAGAGGACAGGGCAGATTCTACTTTGGTATATTACCCAAGCTTGTACAATTTGGGGGAAATTAATTAAAAAGAGAATATAAAGTTCCAAATCAGATCGGGCAAACCCACCTCAACTGCCTGAATAGCAGGCTGGTTTCTGGCGAGAGCCTCATGTTTAGCATGCACTTCTGAGTTTTTCCAGGCACATCTGTACCTCTGGAGCCACAGGCTTTATTTACCCTCTCTCTGCCGTCTGTACTGTCTATTAATGATGCAAGCCAAGCATTCTCTGCTGCAGGCCTGAGGATTGTTCTAAGACAGTGCCACAGATCAGCCATCTGGGAGCCAGAATTGTCCTGCAGGTGGTTTGTCATGGTAGAGTTTTTGTCTTCTTGTTCACTGTTTCTTAAAAATGTAAATTAAATGTGTCAAACTTTAAAAAGACATAAAATTTCAAGTACCTAATCATTTCCTTCTCTTGAAAAACTGGAAGACTGTTCCATACTGGCCTTAGCAAAATAACAGCTTTGGAGGAGAGGCATGCCTGTCCTTCAGCCTAGTGCCCATCTGGCTCCCTTCAGTTTTTCAGATTTTCCTTTCTGACCTTGGGGACCCTTGAACTCTGTTCAGGCCAGGGGCCTTGCTTGTCTCATCTAGTCTCTGCCTTGTCCTTTAGCTTTTGATTTCTTATCTTTTTGATGTCCTAATACTTTTTATTTTTTCTTTTAAAATGGTAATTAGCTATATATATTATTAATATTTATATCCCATTTTGCTAACTACATTAGTTTTTAGATATTTTTAGTTTTTCAGCTTGGGTCATTCTTAGATTATTCCATAAAAACTACATGGATTTATTACAAATATCTTTTGTGTCTGATTTTATGTCACCTCTTTTCTAAAAATGATGCATATTGTATTTGATTTTTAAAAATTGGTATTGGAGTAAAAGATTGACAGTGTGGGAATTTTAGGACTCTTACTAACCTAAATAGTAAGTCCTGACAGGATGAGGACTGGGGACTGTTTCTTTGAACTATAAACTCGTTGATGGCAGAGTTGTTATCATTCATACCTATGTAGAACCCTTTTTCTCTCTGATCCAGGTATTACAATATGTTGCAAAATCTATATTTGGCTATTCATTTTGGACTTTTACATCCTTGAGAATTTGTATGAAAAAGTTTCAGAATTAATAGGAGATGATGGGATGGAATTTATTGTTGATTGATATTTTGAATCCTTTTTGGAAAAAAAAAAAGGCCCAGTATCAGTCAACATAGCAAGTTATGGAAACATATTGCCAATTCACAAATAAGGTAGTAAGCTGACAGGCAAATACCAGCTAGACTGTCTCTGAGAAAATTCTAAGTTTACTTGGGACAAAAAGTCAACAGTCTTTCCCATGTAATGCCACTACATTAAGAATCAAGTTTCAAAGAAGTTCTATTTGGGGTAAATATATGAAAATTGCAGTTTTTAAAAACCAAATAAACCCCCAGTAATTTTCTACTTTAAATTAACACACAACTTATATAGTTGAAAAAAGAAAAGATTCTTGGATATATATTTTATTTGACAGTGTTTTAGAATATCATACAGTAAACAAGATTTCTGTAAAAGTTAATTTATCCATAGTGGTGCGTTTCATAAAAATAGTTGCTCACTTACAGTCTTTCTGTGACTATTAATACATGGAATTATATTTATAGAGATACAGCTGTACAGGGTAAATTCACAGCTAACACTACACAGAAATATTATTTGGAATGGGATTTAGATGATGTGCTGTCTTCACATGTTATGGATTACAGCCGCATAAAGCAATTACTGCACAAGTAGTAGCTGTGAACTGTGCAAATTAGAGTTTATGCAAGCGTAATCTCATTTTTTTTTCCTTTTGTAACACATGGAAAATAAAGATTGGAGGATACAGTACCAGGACGTGCAGCTACACTACAGAAGCATTGTCCAAAACCAGATTCAATAAATTAATGGCAAACTATACTGGATTTCTAGTCCAGGGGAGAAAGACTAATTGAGATTAAACCAAAAGTATTATAACTGCTACATGTGTTTGTGCTTTTGTTTATGATGAATGGGTTTCATTTTTGGAAACTGCTTTTACAAGCTGCAAGACCCTTCATATGAGGCTTTCAACCACATTCCCTTGTCAAATAACTAAACTACTCCTCTGTCTGATGGAAATTAAACTGCTAGTGCTCAGGTTACTGCAATTATGGAGAGGGAAAGAGTCAGTGAGGGAGGCTATTATATGTGACCTTGTGTGATGGACCTGATCTCCCCTTTTACTTATTTGACTACAAGTGCAGGGGGGTGAGACTTATTTGCATTCAAATCCTGTAAGGGGCAGAATATGGAAAGGATGAAGCCTCATTTATATAAAGCATATTAAAGACAAATTGCCTTCAGAAACATTTTGCCTTTTAATATGTGTAGCTACAATAAGTACCAATGGATAATTAATCGAAGCTAACATATTACAAAGAAATACTAAAACAGCAGGGGAGAAAGGCAAGTCTTAGAATTTCACTAGGGGATCAATCATAGATTCATGAAGATAAAACACAAACATTTGGAGGTTGCTAATGAAATAACAAAATTGCAAAAAACATAGGGCAAAAGCAAACTGAATGGAAACAAAAATGAATAAGGAAAGATAAGCAGAAGTGAATGCTAAAAGTACTCCTGTTCTTTAATGAAAATAAATTAGTTATAATAGTGATTTTTTAATATTAGAGATTCATTGTAATCTGGGAAATATAGGACAAATACTTTGCCTCTGTTCTGTCAAAATGAAGTAATGGAGTGGGTTTAAAACAAGACAATAAAATAAGAGAAATACAACTGTGTTGACAAAGAAACTATCTTTGCTAGTCTGGGACAACAGGAAAGCCTTTTCATAAAGGAACTGCAGCGTTGCCAATCTTGATTAAACAAATTGTGACTTTCAATTCTAAAAGTCATATTTTAGAGGAAAATCAATTAAGATCTATGAGCTAAACAGCAAAACTCTGACTTATGGCAAACTGTTTCCTAGGATACAATTTTTAAACCTTTTTTTTTCCTACCACTGAAAATGTACAGAAATATGATTTGATCACAGAAATGGCAGTAAAAATGGCATCACACCAATGAATTCACTATATTTCTAACATCCTGCTGTATGCAGGGAACAGCGCTAATACTGGTGATGGATGCCAAGGGTGAGCCATGGAAACATGTCATGGGCGAACAGTTCCGAATGTTTCAAAAGAAACCCTTTAACCCCTGACTAGATATGTCAAGAACAATTTATTTACAACGCTTTAGATCAATTAAAAGATATAATCTTGTCTCAGTTTCAGCTTGCTCCGTGCAGTTTGATTTTTAAGGCGATATTCCAGTTTGTGATTGCTCTTAACTTGTCCGGTTTCTTGATATAAAGTTTGGATGACATCCAAATCCTTCATGCAGTGGGGGGAATTTTTTTTCTTTCTTATTTTTTTTTTTAAACTAAAGCTACACTGCACCGTCTCTCTGTGATGTTCTTCACTTTATTTTGGTTCTTCCATAGCTGCCAAAGCCCCCACCGTGGAACCGGGGGCTTTAGGATCAGTTTAGGTCTGCGTGTGGACGCCGTGCAGCCCATGCTCGCTGGACGTGTGGGACTTCACATCGATGCTCCCAGGCCTTGGTGCCTCGCGGATCTATGCGTGTGACAGTGAAAATAAATTAAAACGCCATGAAACGGAACCTAAGAAGAACGGCCTGTGCCAGGGCGCGTGGTGGGCATTGGCCTCATCTGCTGGCGGCCGAGGCGCCGGGCTTGAGCACGCCGGGCAGCTTGTCGGAGCCCGGCACCTTCCAGGGCCCCGGCGCCACGGCGGCCTTGCGCGCTGGGGCGCCCCCTGGGGGCCGCGGGCCTTGCCGGGGACCCGCGCGCGCGCCCGCCCTGCCTTCAGCCTCCCGCGCGCCCGGCCGCTCCCCACCGCCCCGGCCCACGAGCGCAGCCCCGAGGCCGTCGCGCCGGCCGAGCTCGGGGCCCGGCGCGGCGCGGGGACCCTCCTTCCCGCCGGCCCTCGCCGCGTCCGCCGCCGCGAGCCCGGGCGCCCTGGCCTCCGAGGCGGGCCTGCCGGCCTCGGGCCGCCCCTGGCCGCCGGGCGCCTCCTCGAGCCTCGGCCGCGCGGCCCTCTGCGGACTCGCCGAGCGCTCTCTCTGCTCTCCGAGGCGCTGCTTCTTCTGGCCGCCGGCTGAAAGCTCCTTTGGTTTCCTAACGTCGTGTTCCCTTTTGATATCCCAAGTCGGGTCTGGGCTTATCTGGTGGGAAGGGTCGGAGGGTGGGGCTGGATGCGATGGAGAGAATGGAGAGAGGATGTCTTCGAGGGAGACGCCTACTTCCGGCAGACCTGGGGAGGCGGCAGCGGGAGAACTCCAGGAGTTGGGTTCGTCTGTGGACACGAAGAACAGGCGTTAGGCCGTCCGCAGCGCAGGTCCGACACTCCCGCGACCACCCGGGGACAAAGGCAGGCAGCCCCGGGGGACTGCTTTCAAGGCCCCAGGCTACCCCCACCCTCACTGCCAGGAGGGCAGTGCCCGCGCCCAGGGAGGTTTTGTGCTTTCTCTTACTCTGCCCGCGCTCTTTGGTAGACCAGGGAGGTCTACCCTTCGCCTAGGCCCTCTAACTTCCTGAGGTTCCATCAGGCCTGACAGTGCTTTGGGCACATTGACTTGGCAGCTCTTGAATCAATGGTTCTCAGACTCAAGTAAACATTGGAATTACTCTGGATGGATTGCCCAGGGACCAGGCTGGGAGATCCCAGCAGTAAGAGGCCTACATCTCTCTATATTTTTAACAATTACCAAGGCAGTTCTGAAGAAGGCAGCCAAGGTTTAAGGAAAACTTGTTCTGGGTAGTTTGAAGTGGTTGGGGAGAGTGACTTTCTCAACCATTAGGTGTCACTCAAAGCATAATCCTTAGCTACTGCCAGATAATCTCAGAATTTGAATAAATTCACCTAAAAACTCTCATGGTTATTTTGCCTTTTAAAAAATCATTGTCCTTAATTCTTTTTGTAGTTCTAACATGGAAGGCCTCCAGACTAAATAATAAATGGTTCTTTCTAGGAAGCCTAGTTTCAGCATTTATTTAGGATGTAAACCATTTCCAAAAAGGATTTAAGACAATTTACAACATCAAGACACATATAAAGCAGAATGATAAAAATGAAAAGTGACTTTTTTTTTTTTTTAAAGCAACCACTGGTCAGAAGCCAAGTAGAAGGACAGATGTGTTAGAAATCCAAGATGAGTTAGTTACTACCATGAGCAACAACATTATCCTTGAGATTCTGCCCACTAAAGCAAAATTGAAGCAGGACAATTCAATGCAGTGAACCCTTGATATTTGTGATAAATATGTCTCCTGACTTTGGAAATCCTCAAACTTTATAATACCATTCTAAACTGTAATTTTTTCTCTGAGGAATTGATATAGGGTCATGGGTGGCGAACCAAAAAAAAAAAAAAAAAAAAAAAAAAAACCCCAAAAAAAACACATTCATAATTGAATTCTAGGTGGCTGGTGAGCATCCCTTACTAGCTGGAAGATTCAGCCCCACACACCAGTCTCAGTGTATATGATTCAAGTTCCATGAATATACAGTCTGTGAAAGTTAAGGGTTTACTTTAAGTTGAAGCTTCTTATATGGTACCTTTGATATTGACCTATAAAGAGATGAGCAGAGGAGGAGGGCAGTGGGGCTTATTTTTCCAATAATTCTGGCTACCCTTAGAATATCAAATCAACTATTAAAAAACCTCGCTCTTTTGATGTGCAATTTGAATATTTTAGGCACAGTGTTATCTTCCTTCTTTCCATAGATTGATGTCCATTATCATTTTCACATGCTAAGTAAAAAATCTTAGGAAAGCATCAGAAGACCTGGAATCTAATCATACCTCTGGCATTTATTTACCAATAATGTGATTTTGGGCCAACCACTGGATCTCTCTGAGCCTCAATTTCTTCCTTTATAAGATGGGGCTAAAATGTCCAACCTCATGGATATGAGATGTATACTTCCTAAAGGAGAAATACTTGCAACTGGAGGGTTATGATGACTATTTTCACATAGTTGAGCCATATTTTTCCTCTGTGCTACAGTGGCTGCCCACTTAGGGTTTGGGCTCCTGTGGAAGCTGCCTTGGAACTGGCTTCTGTGGAACTAGCAGATTTGGAGGTGAGGTTTTGGATAAGTGCAATAGGTCAGTTATTCCCATGTGCTATGATTCCCAGAAGTGATTTTGCTATACTTCAGATATTCCTGGTTACCTCAAAGAATAATCTGCAACCAATGCAAAAATGTTCAATGAACAGGGGACTGGCTCCTTTGGGCTGCAGTAGAGTTTAAAATCAATGATAGTGGTAACTTCACCCACATAGGAAGATTTTGCTTTAAAGAGTTAAAAGTGGGCCAGGTATGGTGGCACATCCCTGTAATCCAAGTGGCTCAGGAGCCTGAAGCAGGAGGATCACAAATTCAAGTCTAGCTTCAGCAACTTAGTGAGGACATAAGCAACTTAGCAAGACCCTATCTCAAAAGATAAAATGGAATGGGGCTGTGGTTCATGTGGTTGTAAAGCACCCCTAGGTTCAATTCCTGGTACCAAGGGTGGGGTAGTTAAAAGTAGGCTTCAGAGGCCTAACTATAGGATAGTGTGTGCAAGGGTAGTCTCTGACTTGAACCAGAGTAATGATATTTCACATTGTAATAGATCTTTTCCCCACCATTATATCACATATGGTAGAGTCAATAAGCTGGCCTTAAATTACTTCTGAGACATAGGGAGAAGGATGACATTATTCACACCATTTCCTGAAGGAGGAATTGAAGCAGAGAGAGGTTAAGTAACTTGACCAAGATTACAAAATAGGCCACCCAGGAGTAAAATTTGGGCTTCTTTACTCTTTTCACTTACTGAGAAAACTGTCCCAAGTTGTTACCTTGCAAATAGGATCCAAACTTGTGAAATGAACATGCTCAGTGGCCACTGCTAATCAACAATAGCTAAGTACCATCACTGAACAGAATACTTAGCTTTTATTCCAGAACATCTTACCTACCATGTGTCTGGTATTGAACTGGAGAGTTCCTGTCCAGGAATATGAAAAATGTTGAGCCACACATGTAAATGGCCATCAGATGGCCTCAGATTACTTCTGAGATAAGGGGAGACTCTCTTCTCTTTCCTTCTATTCTTGCCTTCCTTAAGTGATTCTCTATTTAAAAATACAAAGGGATTTCTCTTATTATAAAAAGATCTCCCAAGAGTTTGTTTATAGATCATTAAATATTAAGTGGGAGAAATTAAAAGTTAAAATGTTCTAAGCCCCTGCCTATTAAGAATATTAATCAGAAATTAAAATTTTATCATAAAGTAAAAATGATTTCAAAGTGGACATATATGTGTGGTTTCATATTTTCCATTTTTTGTGCAAAGGAACTCTCCAGTTCAATTCTAAATATTTCCTCTCTAAACATGTGGTGTCCTTACAGACATGAACCTGCAAAGCTCCATAAAGTACCAAGAGGCAGGCAGCCTCTTTACCCAACTGGTCCTATCCCTACCTCAAGGTGACATGAAGTGTGGATAGGAAGAGACTTCTCTAACATTTCAAATTCTAGTTTTCATGAAATCTTGACACACTATAGACAGAAGAATTACATTTAGTTCTGATTCCTTTGGACAATGTTTTTGCTTTCTTTATTCCCTTCTTTCTTTCTCCTCTCCCTTCTTCTTTTCTTTTTTTCTTGAACTTGGGCACTGGCTAAAGCATGTGATCATGCTCATTTACAAAGTAGTGATCAAACATGATGTGCTCTATAGTCTTTCCTGTCTGAAATGTCCTAATTAAAATTAGAAATCACAGAGATGCATTCTAGAAAGAAAGCAACTGACACATCTGGCCTGCTGGGATTTCTGCAGCTCCCTCATCCAAACAACGTCCCAGGTTCACTGGCTGAAACCAGAAGGAAAAAGCTTTTCATTCCAAACTGGCTACCTCAGCCTGTCCTCTTCCACCTACAACAGTGAAACTTCTTGTTGTCAAACCCAGAAGATGCCTCTCTGTATTCATCCTTTCACTTGCCACATTTTCACACAATCAATACTTCTAGAACCAAATTGGACCCTTTGCTTTCATGAGACTCCATTCTCCTGCTCTTCATCCGACCTTTCTGGTAATTCTTTCTCACTTTCCCGTCTCTTCTTCTTTTCCCGGACCTCCTCAGGATTTGATCTTGGCTAATTTTTTTCTTCCACAGATCATCTGAGGGGTTCTCATCTATTTGTGTAGCTTTTATACAACGGTACTACCAAATGTTTCTGCTGAGCTTTATGCTACCAGCTCTATGCTGGTGTTTCCGTCCACCTTCCTGATGGCTCTACCTGATTGACATCTTTGTTGTGACAAATCCAAAATAGAAATATTTCCTCTCCAAGCCTGTTCTTCATTCTCCCTCATTTCCTCATCTCAGTAAGTGGTACAGTCACCACTTGGCATTATCCTCAATTCCTTGCTCTCCTTTACCTCACCTGTATAATATACCTACAAATCTTATTAGTATTATCTTCAAACATAGTAGATTTTATTAACTTATATTCGCTTAAATTTTCACCACTATAGTTCAAGCTACAGGGCAGTCTGTGGAAGGATGTGACAGGGTGGGATGCTCAAGACTATCACAGATCAAAGAAGGCTATCTTTCATAAACCCTCGAGGAGATTAATGAAGACAAAATTTCAAAACTGAAGTTCAGTACTGTTCAGAAAAGAGCAGTGCAATGTACTACGAACCATGCGTCCTCCACAGGACAACCTGTGTAGTTAACCCACTCCAGGGGTTGGCCTGCCAAGCTGTCCTTTCTCACATGGGCTACCACAGTAACCCCTCTTTTCCTTCTTTCCACCCTTGTCCTTCTGCAGTGAGTCTCCCTATAGCATCTGCCACAATCTCTGAGACATAAGTTAGATTATGCCATTCCTTGCTTAAGATTTTCAGTAGATTCCCACTGCTCTTGGATTAAAATCCAAAATTATTCACATAGCCTACAGAAGCCTACATGATTTGGCTTGTGTCTCCTTCCCACCTCCATCTCCATTCATGCCCTATTCTCCACCACACTGTATTATGTTCTTTTCAGGGATGTCACTGTTGTGTCCTCTGTTATGGAAGTCTCTCCTCCCAACTACTTGTGTGCTGGGTTTCTTTCATTTTTGGACTCTTGAATGTCATCCTAGAGAATTCCAATCTGTGGAAGGTACTCTATCCTCCTCAACGGTATCCTGTCTTTATTTCCTCATAAACATAGCTTGTAATTGTGCATTTGTTTGTTTATTTGATTAACATCAGTTTCAAATGCCAGTTATAAACTTCCTGAGGGCAATG